GCACCAAGAACCGCCACACCAGGCAGCGGCAAAACCGCTTCACCGGCTCAAGATTCGCGCTGGTGACACGTGGGGCTCCTCCGCTGGGAATCTCCTGGTACGTGAGCAACAAAAATTGATCTGAAAGTGTGGCGTCCTCTCGTTCTCTGCTCTTTCAGTGGGAGCTGCAATCCCGAGCTGCTAGTGATCAGCCATCTTGGATCTCTCTCCCCGATTTTTTTTTAAATTATGTGTCTTTGGTTTTGATATCAGGGTAATACTGGCTTTGTGTTATAGAATGAGTTGAAAGTATTCCTTCCTCCTCTAATTTTCAGAGAAGTTTGAATAGGATTGATATTAGTTCTTCTTTAGTATTAATGGCCACTCTGGCTTTCTTCTGATAATAGTTTGCATGTTGTTGTAGGGTGCCAGCCCCCACACACCACCCATGGGTACCCCGAGTTTGGTGGTGACAAACGAATGAGGAAAAGACTGAGAAAAAGACAGATTAAGAATGTATAAAGTGGCACCAGGGGGCCAGTGCAAAACTGGAGGTTGCTAAGGCCCTGAGCGCTGATCTTCCACAGTATTTATTGGTTACAATTTCTTTGATCTATAGGATAGGTAGAGGAGTGATGGTGGGGAGAGGATGACATGATGGTGTGGTGAATCAGTGAGCGGGAACTGGTGTGTCATTCTAAAGATTGATGACAGTGGCAGTTTTGGGAGTTTCACAAAACAAGAACCTATGGTTATCTTTAGCCTATTATCTATGTGCAGCTGGTAGAATACGGGCCTAACAAGGAACCTACAAGTCTGGTTACGTTTTAGTGCTATGAAGGAGTTTTATATCCTTGAGCACAAGGTTTATTGTAACAGAGCCTAGGTCACCCTGCACCCGGAACATGAGGCATGGAGAAGTTTGCCTCCCCAGAGGCCTCCTGCAGTTTGCCATGGTTTGTTGTTCCCAGTTTATGTGTTACTTATAAGCAATTTATGTAGGCACTCTGTAAGTCCTTTCTCCTTTGCTGCTTCCCCCAACGTGTTGTGTCTTTTGTTTTTACTTGGAAAGAATAGTGTATAGTTTTTTAAGTTATTGAATCTAACAATCTTTTATTGGTTTTTTGAGATGTTTACATGTGGTGTATTTTTATATTTTCTAGCATTCCATTTTAAATTTCTGTTGGCCTTCTAGGTATGTGTGTTGGTATTATTATTTTAGTGGTTATTTGACAGGGCTAATGATAACAATATGCATGCCTAACTTTTTATAGTCTATTCAGAGTTAATATTGTATTACTTTTAGTCAAATTTAGAAGTTTTAGAACGATACTGTTTCATTTATCCTCCTTCACTGACCTTTGCTGTAATTGTCATATTTTTATGACATATACATATATGGCAAACTCTATCAGAAAAACTTATAAATTTTGCTTTTAACAGTCATACATATTTTATAGAACCTAAGTGGAAAAAAATAGTCTCATATTTTCTCAGATTTTTATTCTTTATTTTGTTCTTTGTTGATTCCTGAAGATATAAAATTTCTCCAGTGTCCTTTCCCTTCAGTTTGAAGGACTTTCTTTTCATTTCTTCTAAAGCACACTGCTACTGATACATTTTCTTAGTTTCCCTTGATCTAAGAATATCTTTGTTTTGTCTTCTTTCCTCAGGATGTTTTTGCTGGTATAGAATTCTGGGTGGATATTTTCTTTTCTTTCAGCATTAAAAAAATGTTTTATGATTATTTTCTGATTTCCATTGTTTCTGATGAGAAATCTGCAATCATTCAAATTATTTTCCCTCTCTATATAATGTAATTTATTTCTAGCTGTTTTCAAGACTTTTTGACATCTTTTGTTTTCAGCATTTCAGATTATGACATATTTGGGTGTAGTTTTTAAAATTTATCTAATTTAGGGTTTGTTACACTTCTGGAATCTATATTTGTTATCTTTCAGCAAATAAGGGATTTATAAAAAAACATAATTTTTTCATATATATATATATATATATATGTATATACACACATATATATATTTGCACCAGTCTTTTTTGACCCTCTATCTGAAACTTGAGGGACACTAATATGGGCTTTTGATTAAGCTCCATAGGTCTTTGAAGCTCTGTTCTTTTTGTTTGTTTTCTCAATCTGTTTCTTGCTTCACATTGAGTTATCATCAGACTTACTGACTGTTACCTCTGTCATCTCCATTCAGCTTTTGAGCCCATTCAGTCATTTTCTAATTTACGATGTGGTATGTTTCAGTCCTAACATTTTTATTTTATTATTTTTAATGATTTATATTCTCTGTTGAGAACTTTGCTTTCTGTTATTTTAATTGTCTTTACCTTTACCTCCTGGAGCCTAGTTATAATCATTAATCTCTTTGATGGTTTTAATTTTTGGGGTTCTCAGAATTGGTACCCACTGATTATCTTTTCTTTTGAAAATTTTTGTTACAGTTCTCTTGTTCTTTGTATGTTGAGTAATTTTGGATTGATTCTAAATGTTTTATGAGTGTTACATTGTTTGGATTCTGGGCCCTGTTATTATCTGGAAAGTGTTGATTGCTTATTTATTTAAGTGTGTGTGTATATATATATATATTTGTATAATAAATTATATATGTGTTATGTGAGTGTCTCTCTCTCTTTCTCTCTGACTCTCATAGGTAACTAACCAGCTAAATTACCAGCTAAGTTAAAAAGGTAGCAAATTCTGTTTTGTGTTCTGTCACTAGTGGTTCTAATCTCAGTTCCATTTTCAGTGCCTTTAGATTTGAAGGTACTGGTGCCACTCAGGGATTAGACGGAGACTTGTGCAACGTTCTAATTTCTAGTTCACTTTTCAAAGCCTTTGTTAAGTTTCTTTTGGCCTGTTACACACAGGAGCATCTCACGTTGAGATGCTCAGGTTGAGCTTGGGTCTTTTGTAGGTTCATTTACAGAATTAGGGTATCTTCTTTAGCTCTCTCTTCATTGGGATTTCCCTCAGACTCTGGCTAAGAGGAGCACCCCTTCTCAGTTATTCTGGCTGGAAAGACAGAATTCCTGTAAGAGGAGTTCATGTGAACATTTACATGCTGTTACTATTCTCTCAAGGATTGCTGTTCTTTCCATCTCTATGGCTGTTTTAGTGTAAGCCCTGTTTTTCTTTTTTTCTTTCTTAGGCTGTGCAGTAGCCCTTTGATTTATTTCTTAGCTTCTCATTTTTTCCTTGCTATCCTTTATTTCTACCACAGTTTGCTTTTGTAGCATACATGTTTTGTCATATCTTTTCCTTGCCTAAGACAGTGATCCCAAAGTTTCTGAAGAAAAATCTGTTGTTATTGAAATTGTCATTCTCCTATAGGTAATGTGTTGTTTGTCTTTGCCTGCTTTCTTTTCTTTTCCTCTCTTTAGTTTTCAGAGGTTTGATTATGATGTCTATAAGTGTAGAATTATTTGAGTTTATTACATTTATTATTTACTCAGCTTCTTGCTGTGTGGGTTTATCTTTTTTTTCAACGTTTGGAAAGTTTTCAGTTATTTCTTCACACTCTTTCTTCTTCCAATGGGAAAATATGACAAATGTTTTAATCTTTTTAAATTGACTTTCAGGTGACTAAGGTTTTGTCCACTTCATTCAATCTACTTCTCTCTGTTCACATTGTATGATTTTTGTCTATATCGATGCTCACTGATTTGTTCCTCTGGCATTTCCATTCTGTTATAGAGCCTATCAAGTGAGGTTTTATAGAAAACCTTGTTTCATTGTATTTCCATTTTGTTATTTTAATCTTCTATTTTCTTGCTGATACTTTTATATTTATTTGAAAGTGTCTGTAGCTGCTTATTGGGCCTTTTGCTGACAGCTGCTTTAAGATACTTGTCAGATAATTTCAGCATCTTTGTCACATCAGTAATGGTAGCTGCTGATTACTTTTCTCAAGTGAGTTAAAATTTTATTATATCTTGGTATGAGAAGTAATTTAGAATTGTATTCCAGGTATTTTGGGTATTGTATATGAGACTGTCTTAGTCCATTTTATGGTGCTATAACAGAATACTCAAGACTTGGTAATATGGCTTGGCTGTGTCCCCACCCAAATCTCAACTTGAATTATATCTTCTAGAATTCCCACATGTTGTGAGAGGCACCCAGGGGAAGGTAATTGAATCATGGGGGCCGATCTTTCTCATGCTATTCTCGTGATAATGAATAAGTCTCATGAGATCTGATGGGTTTATCAGGGGTTTCTGCTTTTGCTTCTTTCTCATTTTTCTCTTGCTGTTGCCATGAAAGAAGTGCCTTTTGCCTCCCACCATGATTCTGAGCCCTCCCCAGCTGCATGGAACTGTAAGTCTCTTAAACCTCTTTTTATTCCCAGTTTTGGGTGTGTCTTCATCAGCAGTGTGAAAACAGACTAATATAGTAAATTGGTACCAGTAGAGTGGGGCATTGCTGAAAAGATACCCGAAAATATGGAAGCAACTTTGGAACTGGGTAACAGGCAGAGATTGGAGTGGTTTGGAGGGCTCAGAAGACAGGAAAATGTGGGAAAGTTTGGAACTTCTTAGAGACTTATTGACTAGCTTTGACAGAAATGCTGATAGTGATATGAACAATAAGGTCCAGGCTGAGGTGGTCAACTTAGATGGAGATGAGGAACTTGTTGGGAACTGGAGCAAAGGTGACTCTTGTAATGTTTCAGCAAAGAGACTGGTGGCATTTCCACCCTGCTCTTAAGATTTGTGGAACTTTGAACTTGAGAGAGATGATTTAAGATATCTGGCAGAAGAAATTTCTAAGTAGCAAAGGAATGCTGTGTCTTGGGTGCTGTTAGGGGTATTCCATTTTAAAAGGGAAACAGCATAAAAGTTTGGAAAATGTGAAGCCTGACAATGTGATAGAAAAGAAAATCCCATTTTCTGAGGAGAAATTTAAGCCAGCTGCAGAAATTTGCATAAGTAACGAGAAGCCAAATGTTAATTCCCAAGACAATGGGGGAAATGTCTCCAGGGCATGTCAGAAGTCTTCACAGCAGCCCCTCTCATAACAGGCCTGGAGGCATAGGAGGAAAAAATGGTTTTGTGGGCTGGGCCCAGGGTTCCTGTGCTGTATGCAGCCTAGGGACTTGGTGTCCTGTGTCCCAGCTGCTCCTGCTATGACTAAAAGGAGCCAAGGTGCAACTCAAGCTGTGGCTTTAGAGGGTGCAAGCCCCAAGCTTTGGCAGCCTCCACATGGTGTTGAGCCTGCGGGTGCACAGACGTCAAGAATTGAGGTTTGGGAACCTTGTCTACGTGTCAGAAGATCTATGGAAATGCTTGGATATCCAGGCAAAAGTTTGCTGCAGGGGTGGGCCTCTAGTGGAGAACCTCTGGAGTGCAGTGTGGAAGGGGAATGTGGGATCGGATCCCCCACACAGAGTCTCTACTGGAACATCACCTGGTAGAGCTGTGAGAAGAGGGCCACTACCCTCCAGACCCCAGAATGATGGATCCACCTACAGCTTGCACTGTGTACCTGGAAAAGCTGCAGATGCTCAATGCCAGCCTGTGAAAGCAGCCAGGATGAGGCTGTACCCTGCAAAGCCATAGGGGTGGAGCTGCCCAAGATAATGGGAACCCACCTCTTGCATCAGTGTGACCTGGATGTGAGACCTGGAGTCAAAGGAGATGATTTGGGAGCTTTACAATTCGACTACCCTGCTGGATTTTGGACTTCTGTGGGCCTTGTAACCCCTTTGTTTTGGTTAATTTCTACCATTTGGCATGGCTGTGTTTACCAAATACCTGTACCCTCATTGTATCTAGGAAGGAACTAGCTTGCTTTTGATTTTGCAGGCTCATATACTGAAAGAACTTGCCTTGTCTCAGATGAGACTTTGGAGGTGCTGAAATGACTGAAGACGTTGGGGAACTGCTGGGAAAGCATGATTGGTTTTGAAATGTGAGGACATGAGATTTGGAGGGGCCAGGGGCAGAATGATATGGTTTGGCTGTGTTCCCATTCAAATCTCAATTTGAATCGTATCTCCTAGAATTCCTCTGTGCTATGGGAGGTAATTGCTATGGGAGGGGCTCAGGGGGAGGTAATTGAATCATGGGAGCCAGCTGTTCCTGTGCTTATCTTGTGATAGTGAATAAGTCTCATGAGACCTAATGGCTTTATCCGGGGTTTCTGCTTTTGCTTCTTCCTCATTTTTCTCTTGCTGCTGCCATGTAAGAAGTGCCTTTTGCCTCCTGCCATGATTCTGAAGCCTCCCCAGCCATGTGGAACTGTAAGTCCAATTAAGCCTCCTTTTCTTCCCAGTTTTGGGTGTGTCTTTATCAGCAGTGTGAAAATGGACTAATACGCTTGGTAATTTATAATTAATAGAAATATATTGGCTCATGATTTTGGAGGCTGGGAAATCTAAGATCAAGAGGCTGGCATCTTGTAAGGGCTTTCTTGCTGCATCATCCCATGGCAGAAGATAAATAGAGGGTCAACCGATGTGTAAAAGGGTTCAAATCTTATCATTTTATAAGGAACTCATTCCCCTGATAATGAACTCACTCCTGAGGTAACAGTGTTAATCTGTTCATGAGGGCAGAGCCCTCATGGTCTGATCACCTCCCATTATGCCCTACCTCACAACACTAATCCAGAGTCTTAACTCAGATTAGCACCAGCTCAAAAGTCCAAAGTCTAGGGTCTCTTCTAAATCAGATATGGCTAAGACTCAAGACACAATCCATCCTGGGGCAAATTCCCTTCCAGCTATGAACCTATGAAATCAAAACAAGTTGTCTGTTTCCAAAGTACAATGGTGAGACAGGTGTAGGATATACATTCCTGTTCCAAAAGAGAAAAAAAGGGAGTAACACCCCAGATAAGTCCAGAACCCAACAGAACAAACAATGTTAAATCTGAAATCTTTTTTGACTTCATGTTTTATCTTCTGAGCACACTAGGGTGAGGACTGGGCCCCAAAGATCTCAGGCAGCCCAGCCCTTAGGCTTTGCTGGGCTCAGCCTACATAGCAGCTATCATTGGTTGGAGTCTCATGCCTGCTGCTCTTCCAGTGTGAGGCTGCATATGGGTGACTATAGTTTTGAGGTCTCAGAGGTAGCCCTGCTCCTGTGGCCCTATTAGACATTTCTCTAGTGATTACTTTTAGGTAGCCACAGCTCCACAACTTGTACAGTCTGCACACCTGCAGAATTGGCACCACATGGATACATATCACCAAGGTTTATGGCCTGTACTTCCCAGAGCTGTAGCCAGAGACAAACCCTGGTTTGCTTGAGCAGTGACTGGGGAAGCTAAAGAGAGTTGTGCCAGAATGCAGGGAGCAGATACTTTAGGCAGCACAGGACAGTGACTGCTGAGGTCCCATAGATGCCTTTCTGGAAACTGATCTCAGGATCCTAGATCTGCCCCTAGGGAGGGGCAGACCAGAAGACCTCTAAAATACCTTCAAAATCTCTTTCTGTCTTGATGAGTAGCACTTGACTTCCTTTTATCCATGCTAATCCCTTTATACAATGGTTTCTTGGCCACACTCTTGCATGTTTTGCTTTTTTGTTCTTTACATATGCAAGCTACGACTTTTCCATATTACTACTTTCTGCTTCCCTTTTAATAATGCATTTTGTTTTTACATTGTTCTACCCTCTGGCATCTTACTATATGCAGTTAAAAGTAGCCATGCAGCTCTTTCAATTTTGCTTAGAAATTTTTTCCATCAGATATCCTAGTGAAGCGGCTATATACCCTGGGGTTCGTCTTCATGCACCAGGAACATTTAGGGAACAGACACACACAGGAGTTTAAGAGTAGAGGTTTAATAGGTAGAAGAGAAGAGAAAGAGATACAGCTTCCTCTATAAAGCAAGGGGTCTCTGATCAGAAAAGACTGGCTGGCAGTGAATGCACCGAGTTTTATAGTCCAGTTTGAGGAGGTGGTATCTGATTTATGTAGGGCTCACAGATTGGTTTGATCAGGTATGACATTACACAGTGCTTGGGGAAGGCTGGTTGCCCCACCCTAATCTTCTTATGCAAATGGACTTTCCTGTTGATCAGTGCCATCTCGTCTGCTCCTTAAAATACACATGGCTGGCAGAGAAGAGAAGATGGAGCCACGATTTTGAAAATCTCTAGTCCTTAGTTCCTGCCAGCATTTACCTGTGCAAGCTTGCAGCTTGCAGGCTGCTCTTTGTTAGAAAATTGGGCTGCTTTTCATTAAAAAGGAAAGCCTTACCGAGGACTACCATGCCCTTGCTAAATGACTAAGTAATTCCTTCCTAACTCCTATATCACTTGCTTATTGCCCTTAAATTCTGCCTTCCATGAAGCACTCAGATATGGGCACAATTCAGTCAAGTTATTTGCTGCTTCATATCAAGGATGGCTGTTGCTCCAGTTTGCAATATCTTTTTCCTCATTTCTGTTTGAGATCTCAGGATTGCCTTTACTGTCCATATTTCTACCAATATTCTGATCACAAGCACTAATGTAATCTCTAGGAAGTTTTAGAGTTTCCCTGCAGTTCTCCTCTGAGCCCTCATCAGAATCATCCTTAATGTTTTTTTCATGGCAATACAAGCTTTTTCTGGCCCTTTTCTCCAAACTCCCCCAGCCTCTACTTATTACTGAGTTTCAGAGTGGCTTCCCTATTTTCAGATGTTTGATAAAGCAGCATTCTATGCTTCAATAGCAGTTTTTGTCTTATTCAGTTTTGTGCTGCTATAACAGAATACTTGAGAACTAGTAATTTATAATGAATAAAAATTTATTGACTTGTGATTCTGTTGGGAAGTCCAAGATTGAAGCGCCAGAGTTTGGCAAGAGCTTTCTTGCATCATTGCATGACGGAAGCGCAAAGAGAGGGTGAAGAGAGAAACAGAGGAGGGCAAGAGGGGGTAAACTAATCCTTTTATAAGTAACGAATTCCTGCAATAACAGCATTAATCCATTTATTAGGACTCTGCCTTCATGGCCTAATCACCTCTCATTAGGCCCCACCTCCCCCCACTATTGCACTGGGGATTAAGTATTCAACACTTTTTTGGGGGGACACGTTCAAACCATAGCAGAGACTGGTTCATAATTAAATATTTTGTTTTAGGAGGCAATCAACTTGTTTTGGTTCAGCACACATGACCTAGCCCACTTTCCAAAAAACAATTAGAGCTTTACTGAGTTACAATTTACACCTTACAATATTCATCTTTTAAAAATGTACAGTTCAATTAAGTTTAGCATATTTAGAGAGTGGTACAACCATCCCCATTACCTAATTTTAGGCTGCAGAGCCAAATTATATAAACAAATTGGTATCCGTGACTTGTTAAAAAATAATTTCCATGGTATCTTATATAGTCAGTATAAAACCTAACTAATCTATACTTTAATGTATAAAAATGAGTTTTTATGATGATGTTTTATTATAACATCATTATGTCAGTATTTTACCATCTGAGTTATGAAAGCATATTATAATTTTCAAGAATGTAGAAATAAAATAACTGAGGTAGGCAAAACTTTAACATGGCCCTTTTGACTTTTATCGCTGGTATTACTGTCATGATTATGCTATGTTATTTGTCAAAAGGGAGATTATCTGGGTTTTCTTATTCTAATCACATGAGCCCTTTAGAAGCAGAGTGTTTCCCCTGGGTGGTAGCAGAAGAGGAAGTTAAGACTCAAGGCATAAGCTGGATTTGACATGCTAATGCTGGTATGAAGATGGAGAGAGCCATGCCTGAAAGTACTAGAGAGAGAGGCCTCTCGGTGCTGAGAGCAACTCCTGACTAGCAGTTGGCAAGGAAGTTGGGACCTCATTCATGCAACTGGAAGGAACTGAATTCTACTAACAATGAATAAGCCTGGAAGTGGATACTTTTCTGGAGCCTCTGGATAAGAGCCTAGCTCAGCTAACACTCATCTAAGTCTACAGGCTGACTTCTGTCCTGTAGAACTGTGAGATAATAAATGGATATTCTTTTAAATTTCTATGTTTATGGTAATTTGTTACTAGAAATAAAAACAAGTTTAGGAGCATATTTAGCAATAAATCATTGAAAAAGCAAATCTGGCTGAATTTCAGTCAATGATATTAAGTTAACTAGAAAATTAAATTAATTCTTTAAACATGATGATCAATTGAGTCTTATTATCTTTAACAGTAATAATACAGGGTGATTATGATTTATTAATTTAAGGTTTTTATAACACCTTGTGTACCTTTCTTTGATTTCGTTAGTGTGCCATGAATGATTAGAATTAATGCTCTAAATGTTTGGGATATGCTAATTGCTGTCTGGATCCATGAAAGGAAGATGCTCTGGCATTTTAGATATCTGATTTATTTTACCCTATTTCACCCAAAGTAGACTTCCAGTCTACCATTTGAGCCAAAAAGTGAATAGGAAAAATATTTTACAGATAACATAAGGTTATGAAATGATAAGTAGATGTGATTCAGTTTAGCCAAAAGGGGAAGAGATTGATCTTATCACTGATAGTAGATTAATTTGAAAATAATGATTACCATGTGCAAGAGAAGTACTCTATGATTAAATAATGTTTGAGTTGTATAGTTATCTCAGTAGCTTAAGGGAATGTTGAAGGAAAAATATATTAATGAGCTGGAATCTTATTTGGAAATATCCTTGTTAGAATTATAGAGCACAGAATCAGCTGATGTTTTAGTCCACTTGTTTTGCTGTGAAGGAATACTGGAGGCTGGATAGTGTATAAGGAAAAGAGATTTGTTTGGCTCATGATTCTGCAGGATGTACAAGAAGCATGGCAGCAGCATCTGCTTGTAGTGAGGGGCTCAGGCTTGCTTCCACTCATGGCAGAAGACAAATGGGAGCTGGTGTCTGCAGAGATCATATGGCGGGAGAGGAAGCAAGGGGTAGAAGGGGCCAGGCTCTTTTTAATAACCAACTCTTTCAAAAACTAATAGAGCGAGAGCTCACTCATTACTGTGAAGATGGCCCAAAGCCATTCATGAAGGATCTGCTTCCGTGATCCAAACATCTCTCAGTAGGCCTCATCTCTGGCATTGAGGGTCAAATTTCAATGTAAGGTTTGGAGGAGTCATATATAAAAACCATAGCAGTTGAGAATTAGGTCTCAAACTCAGATAGATAATGGTTAAATATAAGCTATATCAATACCGAATTGGAGAATGTGATTTTCATGTGTGGCCATAATGGGCTAGTACTTCACCTCAGAATTAGACTACCCACTCATTTATGGGCCAGGTTAGGCAACTGCTGGTCTGTTTGTGGGGCAGGACCACAATAGTGGAAGATAGTAGTCAGAATGCATCTCTTGTGCCTAGAATAGACTGACAATGATTGATCTGATAAAGAAGTTAGGAAAAACAGTCCCATTTACCATAGCAAAACAAAAAACCAAAAAAACCTTACATGCGTGCACACACACACACACACACACACACACACACATCAAAAACTTAGGAATAAGTTTAACCAAGGAGGTAAAAGATCTATATATAGGAAACTAGAAAACATTAATGAAAGAAATTGAAGATGACACAAATAAATGGAAAGATACTTTGTGTATTCATGAAGTGAAAGAATATTGTTAAAATGTCCGTATTACCCAGAGAAATCCACAGATTCAATGCAATCCTATCAAATTAGAAATTGAAAAATCCTACAATTTGTTTGAAACTACAAAAGACCCCAAATAGCAAAAGCAATCTTGAGCAAAAAGAACAAAGCTAGAGGCATTATACTACCTGATTTGTCTTTAAAAAGTTCATGAAGGCTGAGTGGTGTGTTGGCTCACACCTTTAATCCCAGCACTTTGGGAGGCTGAGGCTGGTGGATCATGAGGTCAGGAGTTCGAGACCAGCCTGGCCAACATGGTGAAACCCAATCTCTACAAAAAATACAAAACTAGCTAGGCGTAGTGGTGCATGCCTGTGATTCTAGCTACTCAGGAAGCTGAGGGAGGAGAATCACTTGAACCCAGGAGGCGGAGATTGCAGTGAGCCGAGATAGTGCCATTGCACTCCAGCCTGGGCAGCAAGAATGAAGCTCTGTCTCAAAAAAAAAAAAAAGTTCATGGAAAATGCATATTATGAAAAAACTGCATGAATTTCAAAATTTTTTGCACCAAAATAAACTCATACTAAATTGTTATATCTGAATGGAATCAAGTTTGAGGCACTAAGGATGATAAGACATTGGTTTGAAAAGAGCCCCTATTGGAGTAACATGAATTCTGCTAAAATTGAAGTGAGAGCAAACATCAAATTTATGGTGAAGCTTGGGTGGAAGAAGGGGAAATTATTGATGCTTTATGAAAAGTTTATGAGGACAATGCCCCAAAGAAATCAGCAGCTTACAAATGTGTAACTCATTTTAAGAAGAAATGAGATGATATTGAAGATGAAGCCTGCAGTAGCAGACTATTCACATCAATTTGTGAGGAAAAAATTCATCTTGTTCATGCTGTAATTGAAGAAGACTGATGTTTGACAACAGAAACAATAGCCAACACCACAGACATCTCAATTAATTCAACTTACTTAATTCTGAATGAAAATTAAAGTTGAGTAAACTTTCCACTTGATGGGTGCCAAAACCACTAGAACCAGATTAGCTCCAGATAAAAGCAGAGATTTTATTGGAAATTTTAAACAATAGGATCAAGATCCTGAAGCATTTGTTTGAAGAATTGTAACAGGTGAAACATAGCTTTACCACTACAATCCTGAAGACAAAGCACAATGAAAGCAGTGGCTACCAGGAGGTAGAAGGGTTTCAATCAAAGCAAAAGTGGACTGGTCAAGAGCAAAGGTCATGGCAACAGTTTTTGGGGATGCTAAAGGCATTTTGCTTATTGACTTTCTGTATGGCCAAAGTGTAAAATCTACTTATTCTGAGATTGTTTTGAGATTTAGCCAAAACTTTAGCAGAAAAACACCTGGGAAAGCTTCACAAGAGGGCCTTTCTTCACTGACAATGCTTCTGTTCATTTCTTTTATCAAACAAGGGCAATGTGATGAGAGTTTCTACAGGAAATCAGTAGGCATCCACCTTATAGTACTTATTTGGTTCCTTTTGGGGTTTTTTTTGGTTTGTTTATTTCCTAATTGGTGTGGTTTGGCTATGTCCCCACCCAAATCTCATCTTGAATTCCCACATGTTGTGGGAGGGATTCAGTGGGAGGTAATTGAATCATGGGGGCAAATCTTTCTCATGCTGTTCTTGTGATAGTGAGTAAGTCTCATGAGATCTAATGGTTTTATAAAGAGGATTTCACCTGCAAAAGCTCTCTCTCTTTGCCTGCTGCTACCCATGTAAGATGTGACTTGCTCCTCCTTGCCTTTGCCATGATTATGAGCCATCCTTAGCTATGTGGAAGTGTAAGTCCATTAAATCTCTTTCTTTTGCAAATTGCCCACTCTTGGGTATATCTTTATCAGCAGCATGAAAATGGGCTAATGCACTAATCTTAAAATGTGTTCAAAGGGCACCTATTTTTCCTCAGTTAATAATGTAAACAAGACTGCATTAACATGGTTAAATTCCCAGGACCTTCAGCTATTAAGAGATGGAATAAATGGTATCATTGCTTACAAAAGCTTCTTGACTTTGATGGAGCTTATGTTGAGAAATAAAGTTTATGTTTTTTATTTTTATCTTTTAATTTTATTTTTTCCCATGAACTTTTAAAGTCATCTCATAGTTATTAAAACAGCATGGTACCTGCATAAAAACAGACAAATTGACCAATGGAACAGGATAGAGAGCCCAGAAATAAATTTATACATCTACTGACCACTGATTTTCAAACAGCGTCTTGAGGAATACACAATGGGGAAAGGACAGTCTTGTTAATAAATGATTCTGGAAAAACTAGGTATCCACATATAGAAGAATGAAATTGGACCCTTATCTCATCCCTTATACAAGAATCAACTCAAAATGGATTAAAGATTAAAAAGGAAGATCTGAAACTAAAACAACAGAAGAGAACATAGGAGAAAAGGTATGACTTGTCTCAGCAATGATTTCTTGCATGACTCCAAAAGCACAAACACAAAGCAAAAGCAAAAACAGACAAATAGTATTGAATCAAAAAACTTCTGTACATGAAAGGAAGTAACAGAGTGAAGACACCACCCATGCATTGAGAGAAAATATTGCAAATCATACATCAGATAAGGGACTCATACCCAAGACATGTAAGGAACTCAAACCACTCAATAACAAGAAAACAAATAACCCTATTTAAACATGGGCAAAGAATCTGAATAGACATTTCTCAAAAGAAGACATCCAGAAGGCCAATAAATGTATGAAAAAATGCTCAACATTACTAATCATTAGGGAAATGCAGATCAAAACCACAATGGGATGTCATCTCATACCCCTTAAAATGGCTCTTATCAAAAAGATTAAAGATAACAAGTGTTGGTGAGGATATGGCAAAAAGGGAATTCTTGTATACTGCTGGAGGGGAGTAAACTAGTACAGCCATTTTGAAAAGCAGTATGGACGTTCATCAGAAAACTAAAAAGAGAATTACCGTATGATCCAGCAATCTGGGTATATATCCAAAGGAATTGAAATCAGTATGTTGGATGTTTGCATTCACATGTTCATTGCAGCATTATTCGTAATATCCAATATTTGGAAACAACCTAAGTGCCCACCAAGGGATGAATGGATAAAAAAAAGAGGTATATATACATAGCGAAATAGTATTCAGCCTATAAAAGGACAAAATCCTGTCATTTGTGACAACATGGGTGAAATTAGAGGCCATTATGCTAGGCATAATAAGCTAATGTTAGAAAGACAGTTATCACCTGATCTTACATGTGAAATCTAAAAATTTGAATCAATTGAAGTAGAGAGTAGAATGGTTGTTACTAGAAGCTGCGGGTGGTGGTTGGTTGGGCAGGGAAAGGAAAAATACTGGTCAAAGTTTCAGTTAGGAAAAATAAGTGTTCTATTATTCTGTGGATGTTCTGTTGTACAAAAAGGGACTAATATTAGTAATTATGCATTATATATTTTATATACTACCTTGCTAATAGAGTTGCTTTTAAATGTTTTTGCTGGAAAAATATATATGTGGGATGATGGATGTTAATTAGCCTGATCTGCTCAATCTGCAATATATACATGTATTGAAGCATCACATCTTACCCCATGAATATATATAATTATTATTTGTCAATAAAGATGAAATAAAATTAAAAAAGGAATTAATAAGCTGTTAACTAATATTTTAACTAGAAATCCTGTTTTAAAAAAGTTTTCTATGTGAAAAAAGGTTTACAAAAACCACCATCCTGCATAAAGACTATCCCTGAGTGGATCCAACTATTCCTTGTAGGGTGGTTATGCCAGGATTAAACCTATATTCTGTGATAAACAGGATTTATTGTTTCAGAGATTTTGTAATAGTAAAACTGTAACACTTTCTTATTTTTAGAATATATTAAAATATTATATATCCATAGTCAGGATAGACAACAACATCCCACTAGATTTAATTTTAGTGTTGTCTAATGTTTGCATTAGTTTTCCTGCATTTATTTAGTGGCCAACCTTGTATTATAAACAGCCCAGCATGCTTTTAATTAAGGACTCTGCACTGGGCACTTTCAGCTAGAATGAGACATTGACAAGGCATATGGATATGTGGCAGGCATTTAGACAGGTGATTGGCAAACTTTTCCTGTAAAGGGCCAGATAGTAGATATTTTAGGCTTTGCTGACTAGATGGTCTCTGTTGCCAATATTCAACTCTGTCCTCATAGTATGTTAGCAATCTTAGACAATATTTAAACAAACTAGTGTAGTTGTGCTCCAATAAAACTTCCTTTACACAAACAGACAGTAGGTTAGTAGTTTATGTAGTACCAATCTAGATGAATAAGTCATTATGGTTGTCAGTTCAAGAAGAGGAATGATACAAAGTTTAAAACAAAGTTGTTTGAAACTTATAATACATTTTAGAAATCATATTAGAAATAGTAGTTATGCAAAAGCCTATTTTACTTTTTGTAGGGAGTTGAACTATATGCTAACTAATTTCTGGAGAGCTCTACACAATTGGAATGTAAGGATATTAGGAGTAAGATGTGAAAAAATAAATTTCATTTCTTTTACCTTGTTTGGTGGCATCCTTCCATGCTTCCAGTAGACTGCAGTTGGCAAAGAGGAAACCCGTTTATAGTAAATGGAGGAAAAGGTGGGCTCTTTAATGCTGAGGATGAGGAATTCAGGGATTGTGGTGAGTAGTTTCCTTTTAAGTTTGGGAAATTGTACTACTGAAGGTGAATAGGATGGGACAGGGTGTGTAGTTTTCAGGTACTCCTATTGTTTAGCGTAGGTGGGGAGGCATAACAGTTCCATCACATCGCTTCTTATAAGAGGGAGATAAATATTACTATGGTAACTCCTACCGTGTCTGTTTCTTTGGTTGTCTTTGCTTGTAGGTTTTTACTCAAGAAATCTTTGCCCAGTCCAATATTCTGGAGAGTTTTCCCAATGTTTTCTTATAGTAGTTCGTATGCTTATTATCTTTTATTATGCTAGACATTTTATTTGAAAATTATTGATAGAAATAATTTGAGGCCCAGGGTAATGTTATCTTTCTTTAGAGAGTATCATGTATCTTCTGTTAGGAGACTTGGCATATCAGCAATTCTAACAGCACCATAAGCTGATTTTAAGACACAGAGTTTTCTGCTGCTCAGGTGACTCATAGCTAACCTACATTCCAGGTGAAGACTGGTTAACTTCTGGTACAGCATTATGTTAATAGCAAGTCATGTTCCAAGTCAGAGTGCCCTGTTGTTTCTTTGAGCCCATATGTTTTGTGGGTTATTGGTGCTACCAAATGCACTCTTAGCCTTTGGCAATCTCTTCTAAATAAGCAAATGTCTCAGAACAAAACCATCTCTGAATGCTTGCCTCCTCTTAAGCAATTTGCAGCTTCTGGATCTTGGCATGGTACATTTTATCATGTTGTTACTTATAAGATTTTAAAATTGTTCTTTAGCTTTTTAAGTTATCTTCAGTAGAGAGTTTTTCTGAATTACTGCATTTGGTATTATTATTGAAAGTGAAAAATCAGGGCAAGTTATTTAACCTGTGACTTAAAATGTGCTTCAGATTTCTCATTTGTAATATGGAGTTATTAATTAGTATCTCATGGGGTTTTTGAGATTTTTTAATGAGGCAACGCATTGTGTGTTTATAGTGGTTACTGACATGTAGAAAATGCTCAAATTATTATTACATTCATTTGAGAATATGGGAATTTGTTTGTTGTTCTTCAAGGATTTTCCAGGCATGAATTAGCCACTTTATTACTGAAGTAATTTGCAGGGATTGTGAAAGACTTGCAAATGACATTAACATTGACCGACATTTTTGTCAACCCTGATTTAGGTAAATTAAGTTTCTTCTCCCTAATGTATTTAAGGCTCTATACTATAAGGAAAATTTGATTTCATCTAAAAGTAGATAATGGCCCTGATATATATGTATGTATGTATGTGTGTATGTTTATGTGAATATGTAAAAACTGATTAGCTGTGATGTGTGTGTGTATATGCATATATAAATATAGTATGTAAATGTTAAGTGGGAAGACATTTTAATTATTTAAAATGTGGTCTCTTGATAAAATAATTGGGCTGGAGGTAAGAGAACCAAAACTCAGTAGAATTGTTGAGGTTTTTGGGCCGTACGCGGCCACTCATGCCTGTAATCCCAGCACTTTGGGATGCCGAGGCAGGTGGATCACGAGGTCAGGAGATCGAGACCATCCTGGCCAACATGCCGAAATCCCGTCTCTACTAAAATAAAAAAAATTAGCCAGACGTTGTAGCGGGCACCTGTAGTCCCAGCTACTTGGGAGGCTGAGGCAGGAGAATTGCTTGACCCGGGAGGCAGAGGTTGCAGTGAGCCGAGATCACACCACTGCACTCCAGCCTGGTGGCAGAGAGATTCCGTCTAAAAAAAAAAAAAAAAAAGAATTGAGGTTTTTGTTTTAAATATTTTTAAATTCTGAAAATCTAAAGTTTTTCTAAGTATCTTTTTTGTTTTTATGCATAAAATAGGAGATATAATACCTTTTTATTTGTCCTGTTTTAAAAATTGATTGAGTCCTTGGACTAGATGTAGACAGGAGAAAATGTTAATAAAAAATGTATTTATAGCAGAACTCTGTAAAGTCTGGTGACACCTATTTTAGCAATATTGGTACATGAAGAACAAATATAGCTTATGTGGTAACTCCCCAAAGTGGGACATAAATATACTGTTTCTCTATTTCATAGATTTGTATTTGATCTTCCTTCTGCCTCCACCTAATTTTTGTGCAGATGAAGTTTAACTTACTCTATTTTGCATCAACATTGAATCCTTCAGTACCATGTTCAATCTTTCAGGACTTTTTTCCCATGTAAATGGAAATGGTCATGATATATTAAGGTTTAAAGAAATCTAAAATAAGTATCTTTTGAGATGTAGAGAAAAATACAGCTATCTGAAATTTTCCTAAGTTGTAAATAAATCCTCCTTTTTGGAAAGTGTTGTGTCCCATTCTGTTGGCTTAATGACTTTTAAATTTTGTTATCCTGCCGTGTGTCTTAAAGTTATTTTAAGGTAATTATTTTCATTATTTTGTTTTATCTTCCAGGTTAACAGAGCCTTCTGGATATTTAACAGATGGTCCAATTAACTATAAATATAAAACTAAATGTACATGGCTCATTGAAGGCTAGTAAGTATATAGTCTGGATCAAATTATTTTATTCTTAAATGGTAAAGGTGACCATATTAATATTAAAACATTAAAGTATAATGACTTTATCATTTAGTTTGTTTATTATTTGATAACATTTACAACTTCTAGACATCACATTTAATATAAATTACACTACCTCTTCACTTGCGACAACAGTTTATATATATTTTGTTTTTGAGTTATGTTACTGTGGTATCAAATTAAGTAGGCATTTTTCTGGTTTATTTTGAACATCTTGTTATGAAATTTATAGACATCATAGAAAGTATAAAATTATTTCATGCTGTGTTATGCCATCCATATTATTTAGCATTTTAGTTTGAAGGGTATTTTTAAAAGAACATTTTGTAGAAGAGAGAGTTAATTATTCATTTAGAGGTATTTTCACTAATTAGGGCTTGAAACAGAATTTATCTATTTAAATGTATTGTGAGTGGAGCATAAAATAATTGATGTGAATTATTTTTGAACCATTTTATAATTTCTAAAGAGTACATTTGGAAAATTTTTTATTTAATTTTTTTTAACTTAAAAGCTATTTTTTCTTTGTTGTGCACCTATAGTCTCATTTTGTTTATTTGTTAACATTATATCACATTGAGAATTTTGATTAAAATTTAAATAATTTTTTAGTGCCTCTACTTACGGGTTCTGTAGAAATAAGAATAGTGGCTTCTTGAGTGTTGATTTTTTAAAATCAACTTTATTTAAGTACCATTTGCATACAACAAAATGCACCCATTTTAAGTGTACAGTTTCATAAGGTTTCAGTGATGTATATAATCTGTGTAACCTCTACCTTAAATCAAGACATATAACTTTTTTATTTTTTTTTTGAGGCAGTCTTACTCTGTTGCCCAGGCTGGAGTGCAGTGGCATTATCTTGGCCCACTGCAGCCTCTGGCTCTTGGGTTCAAGCAATTCTTCTGCTTCAGCCTCCTGAGTAGCTGGGACTATGCGTGCGCGCTACCATGCCTGGCTAATTTTTGTATTTTTAGTAGACACGGAGTTTTACCATGTTGGCCAGGATAGTCTTGATCTCTTGACCCCATGATCTGCCTGCCACAGCCTCCCAAAGTGCTGGGATTACAGACGTGAGCCACTGCACATAGCTGAACATTTTTTATTGACTACATTTTTAGAAAATAATGATCATACATATGTCCTGTTAATAGATTTTGAAAGTTACATTTTATTTTTACAAATTAGATTGATGGCTTATCAATCTTTTACCCTGGTGTTATAAGGATTTGTAGCAAAGTTATATATGAACAGATTTCTAATAAAATACCCTGTCTAAAATTTCAACACTTGGTGCTTTGTATATTATATGATAAATATTATGTATTTATTCGCTCTGTGCTTTATATATTGTTAATCAAAAAATTTTTATTTTTTTTCAGCCCAAATGCAGTGTTAAGATTAAGATTCAATCATTTTGCTACAGAATGTAGCTGGGATCATATGTATGTTTATGATGGAGATTCAATATATGCACCTTTAATAGCTGTACTTAGGTGAGTAATTATGTTTAATTAGTTGCAGAAAAGTAACTATATGTAATTGCTTAACTTAAATATATATTGATATATACTGCAAAATAAATTTAATAAAGATATTCATAGTTAAATTTCACAGATGACTATAATACTTTATTATATACTGTAACTGCCAGTTTAGGTTATAATTATGTAAATATTGATATAAGAAATAAGTAAGTACTATATTGGAAATATGGCTTTCTTTCTAACTATTTTTTATTCTCATTGTATTTAGTTTATTTTTTTAACAAGGCTTGAATATGTTTTCAGAACTATCTATTTGGATATATTAGAGTGAGTTCTAGGTGACAAGCAAATAAATAGACAAGTTTTTCTTTAATAGTTGTCTTTTTATTTCAGTGAAATGATAAAATTTTAAATTTTGCATAAAAGGGTTAAGTTATGCTTTGTGCAGTGGTTAATAAAGATGGAGTTTCTACCAATTCTCAAAATGTGAGAATTTTGTTTGCTTCAAAATATTTTATTGTTAGCAGTAAGGTATACTATTAATTTTAAAATTATAGCATTGTATCAATTTAAAAATCTTATGTATGTATGTTTAGATTATTATAAAAGTTTTCATGAGTAGGAGAAAATCTAGTAGACACAAAAATTATGAACATGTAGTATAGATTTTGTATATAATTTAACATGATTGTTGATAAGTTACTTATTATTTATTTTTGCTATTTACACAGTAGTTCTTATATGTTCTGTCATTGTTGAAAATTTAAGTAAGGGTAAAAGCTTATTGGTCCCTTCAAAGTTTTTTACTTCAAAATTTTTGTTTTACTATTAATGTGGAAAATATTGTTTTATTTTGTTCTGTTTTATCAGGAATGTGAATTATTATTTTGGACAAATATGTGAGGACTTGTATTTCCTTAGGAGCTTGGATACTACTTCTGTGATATTGCTATTGCTTAAATTTTGAGTCGTTTGAACATTAGAAAAAGGATAGTCACAAGTAGCCCTTCGTCTAAGGACAATAGAGAAAATAGAGTAGAGACTTGCAAATGATTATGTTGTAAGATAATCTATTGTAACAATTCAGTTTGATCCTCACTTCATACATTTATTTTGAGCAATTTAAACATAACTTTGCTATCTTTACTCTATTTTTATGATACTGTTGACTGACCATCATTAAGATGTGTGCCTGTTCATTTGTTTATCTAGTAATTCTAATTACTTTGTATTAATTAATACTCATCTATTAGCATTCTTACCAACACTTTCCTGTTACTAAAGGAAGATAATTAGCAGGTGGGATTTAGTATATGGCTGTGAAGATGTAATTAGTGATTTCTCATTAGCAAGTGTTCTTGTTAGCCCTCCTAAGGGAAATGGAAAACTCATGTTTATTGATATTGAATATCCACTTGATGTTAAGCACTATGCTAGGCAGTTTAAATGTCATCTAATCCTCACAAAGATCTTGTTGGGGAAGTATTAAGTACTATTATTCCTATTTTACAGTTGAGAAAATTGACATTCAGAAAAGCTATTTTCTTTTAATAGATGGTAGAGCTAGGATTAGGACTTGAATCTCAGTCTTCTGATTTAAAAGTATATGCTGTTTGTATTTCATCTTGCTAAGAATTCAGAATCTAATATGTTTGAATTATTTCAATTATATAAATATTTATTACTCAACACTTAATTCCAGAGACTGTCACAAGCTTGGAGGACATAGTAAGGAATAAGGCATAGGCTATTGCAGTTACTTTAAATACTACCTCCAGTTGGGCCAGATCAGATTTCCTAGGTTAAGTGCACAGTCCTCTACAACAGGGGTCTTCTCTCCACCCCCGACCCCTGTACTGGTTTGTGCCCTGTTAGGAACAGGGCCACACAGTAGGAAGTGAGTGGTGGTCTGGCGAGCAAAGCTTCATCTTTATTTACAGCTGATTCCCATTGCTTGCATTACTGCCTGAGCTCTACCTCCTGTCAGATCAGTGGTGGCATTAGATTCTCATAGAAGTGAGGACTCTATAGTAAACTGCGCATGTGAGGGTTCTAGGTTGCTCTCTCCTTATGAGAATCTAATGCCTGATGATCTGTCACTGTCTCCTATCACCCCCAGATGGGACCATATAATTGCAGGAAATCAAGCTCTGGGTTCCCACTGATTCTACATTATGGTGGGTTGCATAATTTTTTCATTACATATTACATTGCGATAATCATAGAAATAAAGTACACAATAAATGTAATATTCTTGAATCATCCCGAAATCATCCTCCCTCTGGTCTGTGGAAAAATTGTCTTCCATGAAACCAGTCCCTGGTTCCAAAAATGTTGGTGACTGCTGCTCTATAAGACTGCTGTCATTTTAGACACTAGCTGCAAGCTTGGTGGTCCCCACCTACTCTGATCATATGGCTACAAATTTAGGAGTTCCTATTCTCTCCTAAAGTTTGATAATTCACTAGAATTATCATAGAACTAAGGAAAGTTCTACACTTATGACTATAATTTTATCATAGAGGATAGAAATCAGAGCCAGCCAAATAAAGAGATGTATAGAGTGAGGTCTGGGAGGATCATAAATGCAAAGCTTCTGGGTCCTCAGAATGTGTTACCTACCCAGCACGTCAACATGTAGCACCAACAAGGAAGCTAGCTCATCTGAGCTTCAGGTGTCCAGAGTTTTATTGAAGTTTCATTATGTAGCCATGAATGATTGAATCATTGGCCATGAGGCTGAACTCAAATCTTCAGGCCCTCCCATTGCCTTCGTTCTTGGGAAATTAGGCTGATACCATACACTGGCCCCAACACTTTAGTCACTTGGTGAGTGTTTCTGGAATTATCTCTTTAGCTTAAATTAATTAGGAGCTCACCATGAGTCACTTCATCAGCATACATTGTCCGGGCCCACCATGAATAAAAAGACACCGCTATTACTCAGGAAATTTCAAGGATTTAGAAAATATCCTTGAAATCTTGGGGCCAAAATCATTGTCCCCAAGAACTGGGGACAAAAGTCAGCCAAATTCTTTAGTGTGCAGTAGTCATGCATTAATGAGGGGATGTAAACATATTTTTCTCATAGCTTAGTTAGTATTATAATCAAGTTATGAAGGAGTACTATATAATTTCAAAATAAAGAATTAATCCTTCCTGTTGACTTTCATCATGAGTAGAAGAATGAAATATGGGGGCCAGATAGGACATTCTAGAGAGAGAAAAACATATATACAAAGGTATAGACACATTAAAGAGCATTATATTTTAGGACAATAGTAAAATATTTTGAGTAACTTGATTGTAGGAAATACAAAGTCACTTAGGAGTTATGTTACCCCAAAACAGCAATCAGTGACATTTACTTAATGCTCATTTTGTGCTGGACAATGTGCACGAGTTCTTTATAAGCATTAATTTATTTAATCCTCAAAATAACATTTAGGTAAGTGTTGATAATGCAATTTTACAAATGGAGAATTGAAATACAGAGACTTTCTGTGAGTGGCCCAAGTTTGTGTAGCTGATAAGTAAGAATATGAATCTAGATTGTACAATTATAGATCCTAATCCCTTAATCACTGTAATATTGCTTTCTTATTCAGCTCACTAAAGAAGCTGGACTTTTATTCTATAGGCAAGACTTTTTAGAATGTGGAGAATAGATTGGAATGGATAATTGTTTTTTTTGTTTGTTTTTTTACTGTGTGCTAGATAATTGTGTGTTGGATGTTGTGTTTTGAAATCATGAATCATAATAATTTAAGGCCTAGAAAGATGATATTCTTGCAGAGACTACCTGGGGACTCTAGCAATCCACATTCAACTCAGTCCTAACTCAGATATTGAGATGATTCATAGCTCAGCTACAGTGCAGTTCTTTGGAGGGTCTGACTTAAGGTAGTTTGCTTTTACTTCCAATCACTGGAGTCCCAGTTCAACATGAGGGCCCTGGGTTTCACTTTTTGTTTCCCTTGCTCTGTAAAATCCTTGAAATTACCACCCATCTTTTTGTAGCCCTTCAGATCTTACCTCCAGTGTTGAATTCAGCAAGTGCCAATAGGGCACATGACCTCAATGCCTGGGCAGATCTTCAAGCTGATTTTATTGTTTTTATATAATTTGTCATTTTACTATACTTTGGTTGGTCCAGATTTCCTGGTGCATTATACAATAAGTGGAAACTCTCTTTCATTTGTTGTTTTTAAAATGCTTACAGACTAAAAAGCAAAGAAAACTATTCTTTTTATCTCTTTCAGAGAGCTCTCAGAGACTAGCTATATCTATTATTTTTAGTAATACTTTTATCTAATTTTATTACACTGAACAATATGTATAACTAAGACTGGTATCATAGAATTTGTATTCTTTTGAGAGTCTCATTTTAAAATTATTTGTTGCTTCACAAACATAACCTAGTAGATGTAATAATTACTAAAGCATTAAATTAAGTTTATTATTTTTTAACTTGTTTGTATTTGAGAATGTATTTTCCAAATAAATTATTTGACTATAATATTTCATTTGTGTGTTAAATATGATTTGAATGGGGGAATTCAATTCTTAGTGGTACCTAAACATAATTTTAACTCTGTCTAAAGGAATTGACTATGTTGAGTTACATAATTTGTTTGTTAGCAGCTTCTTTTCTTTCACCTATTGCGTGTTTTCTTAGATTTAAAGAGGTTAGAATGTCTAACTAAATGAAGATAGGTAATTTTCTGCATGAACAAGTAGCTTTAAACAGAAGAAGTTACTGCTTTAGTACTCTTTAGTTTATACATTTATATCTCCCCTACCCCAAATTTTTGTTTGTGTGCATATGGGCTTATGTGAGCAATATTCTGTTTTGGAATAGTTATATATTAATTCAATTTGCATAGATAAACTCTAAAAAACATAAAAGTATATGTTTAAAAAATTTTTAAAGTAAACATTTTAAATCACCTAGATGAATGTATTGAAAATGTACCACTATAACTAGAATATGATTGTAATTGCTTAGCTGATGTAGAGTGTCTGACAGCTTCATCAGATTTTGAAACCAATCAGAATAAGTAAAGGTATAGGGTCACTTATTAGAGTAGCAAGGTGACTTTAAGTGAAGTTTTATGTGAATTAAGTGAAAGACTACCTTGTAGTATTATGACAGGATAGATAGCAGGACAAAAAGGAGAAATGAGACATTGCCTTACAAATAGCGATACAAAAAAAAAATGTGTACAGTGGCATGAGAGTAGATTTTACTGTATTGGCAGCAGTAGTAGAACTAATTTAGTGAGAAATGGGAACTTCTTTTAGATTTATTCTCCTTTCAGTTGCCCATTCTGATGTACAAGCATTACTGATCCTAGCTGGGTATAGTGGCACATGCCTGTAATCCCAGCTACTTGGGAAGCTGAGGCAGGAACTGCTTGAACCCCAGGAGGCGGAGGTTGCAGTGTGCTGAGATCGTGCCATCGCTCTCTAGCCTGGGCAACAAGAGTGAAACTCCATCTCAAAAAAAAAAAAAAAAAAAAAGAATATATCTGAGTAAATTTTATGTGCTTAACAGCCTTATGTGTATCTATACATACAATATTCAATTTTGTTCTCTTTTAGTGGTTTGATAGTCCCTGAAATAAGGGGCAATGAAACTGTGCCTGAAGTTGTTACTACATCTGGCTATGCACTGTTACATTTTTTTAGCGATGCTGCATATAATCTAACTGGTTTCAACATTTTCTATTCGTAAGTATTTTTTAAAAATTCCGTCTTTTAATGATTCTTGTAATTTAATGTAAAAGAGTTTTTTGTTTATTTTTATTAATGTCTTATATACCAGAAGCAGGCTACTGTGTTAAATTTCAAATTAGTATATGGGATCCCTTCTTAAGTGGCACAAAATCTTACTAATATGCCACAAAATGTGATCTAAGCCTTAAGTTTGGTCAAAAATTAATTATGAAATTTACAATTGTTTGTTGGCAAGTGATTAAGTAAACACGTACTAGTGTAACTTTACTGGTAGCAATAGATATGTGAGACTGCAGGGAGTTGTGAACTGCCCTTCAGTGCTCTAAGGTATATCACTTGTAATTTGAAGAGGATTATGGGAGCTAAGTTTCTGTAGTCCCTCTCTATTGCAGAGACTGTACTGAATGCTGAATCCTATACATACATTATATCATTTAATTCCCTTCAATTCTGTCAAGTGGGTATAGTTACCATATACACATGATGAAATTATGGCTAAAGAGATAAGTGGCTATACCACTGTCTCCTCTAAAATAAATGTAATATTCATTGAGAAAAGTAATATTCATTGAGAATCTATTATATGTCCAATACTTTATATACATTTTATATTTAGAAGTCTGAGGGTGAAGTAAAGCAGAGAAGCTTTCAGATGCTTCCACAGAAATGGCTAGGAGGAAGTCTGCATATTATTTTTCTTTTCTTCAGAATGTAGTAATTGATAACCAGATAATTTTTCACCAGGAATATTCTAAATATCCTTGAATCAGCAATTTATTATAGAATTTATTTATACTATAACGTATCTGAGTATGTATGCAAGGGAGAACAAATATATAGTAGCATATAATCAGTTAAAGAGTCTTAAAACTAAATATAAACATCCCTTCCATAAGAGTGTACAGGTGATAGCATGCTCTTTAAATATTATACAACCAAGTTATATCTCGACTTCTCATATAGTTTTGAATATTCATGAATTTTAACTTTTTTCTGTAAAATATACATTCAAAACATTTGAGTGCTTAAGTCTTTACAAAACATTTTGCTTGAAACTATACAGATCTTGCAGATGTCGAGTATGTAGTCCTTTGACATTTGGAGTCTTGGTATCAAAGTAAATCTGTTGAATAAACTAAGACCAACTGCAAATAAATACCAACAATTTCATAAGAGTAAGAGGGTACAGAGTAAAGAATTAAAACTGCGTTGTGAAATTGTGTTACATTTATAAGCACATAAGACACAGTTTAAAAAATTATAAAGTTTATATCAACCAAAATTCTTTTTCAGTTACCTTGAATTTGAATATATATGAATATATGAATTATATTTTACAGAATCAATTCTTGTCCTAACAATTGCTCTGGTCATGGGAAGTGTACAACTAGTATGTCTGTTCCAAGTCAAGTATACTGTGAATGTGAT